CCAAAGCGCTTTACACACCCAGTCATCCACCCATTCACATACACATTCACGCACTGGTGGAGGCAAGCTACAGTTGTAGCCACAGCTGCCCTGGGGCAGACTGACAGAAGCGAGGCTGCCATATCGCGCCCTGGCCAACACCAGTAGGCGGTAGGTGAAGTGTCTTGCCCAAGGACACAACGACCGAGACTGTCCGAGCCGGGGCTCAAACCGGCAACCTTGCGATTACAAGGCGAACTCCCAACTCTTGAGCCACGATCTGACCCGAAGGGCAATTGATTGATCTGAAGTGCAAAGTGATAATAATGCTCTATAGAGTTATTTAAAACTATGTTTCCTATTGCTATTGTTTCCACTGACAACATATAAGAAATGATATATGGAAACTCTATCACATTACTTTGGACCTCTGACCTCCTCTTCAAGGTCAAATCTTTAAAATTATGCTTAAATTCTACTGCCTTTGTTTGTATTGGCAACATTTAGAAAGTGATCCTGGTGTATGGACATTCTAAATATTATATTATGGTTTGTATCCAAATATTACGTCACATGTGACCTCTGACCTTCCCTCTTTCAAGTTGTCCCCAATACCCGTTATATCTTATAAAGAGAATGTGCTGGCAAGTTAGTGATAAATAAACTGCAGCATAATATTATAATAAGCTCAGGTTATTTACAAATCAGTACTTTATTACCCATTACCTACTCGTGCATAATGTCCGTGTAATCACAGTAAACATGTGTTGAATATACGCAAAATACAATAAAGGGTCAGCAGTTTGGCGGCGATCCATGCTTTCCACCACAACAACTCGTGCTTGTTTGTTTGCACCAGTGTGTGACTTCCTCTTATGACCCGCTCTCTCATTGGAAAGCTTTTATGCACTAACAGTGACACCTGTGTCACACCTCCTCCACTCTGTGTACACCCAAGGAAACTGAGAGCAAAGACAGGAGAAAGAACAGTAAAAAACAGCAAAGACTCTCACACTAAGCTCAAATAAAACAAGTGTATATAAACTGAGTGAGTAACATCAACAAAAACACATCATCCCTCCGCCTGCTTAAAACTCCAGTTATGCTTTCCAAAGCACTTCCATGTAAACCTCCCTTCTTTTATACTTCCTGTGGTGAGACATCACAGACACAGCCATCGGAAACTTTACCGCTGGATCGCGAAGACATCCCTGCCCGGAGCGATGTACTGCTCTGTCAGCCAAGACTCTGATTAAGTCTCAGCAGTGGAGTAATGAGCGCAGTGCTGCACTGTGAGACTCTGAGATCACACTGACGCATGCAGACGAGGAGCGGGGGGCATATGTGAGACAGCAGACCTGCGCAACGAGCACGCGCACAGGGATTTGTACTGAGCCTTGCTCTCAGTAGAATTGGTTGCCCTGATTACTCAAACTAAAGCCAAACACTCCCCGCCCTGTCAGCAGCGCTACTGCAGGCCACGGCATGAATAAGACATGAAGAGCTAAATACTAAGAACGGTTGTGCTGTGTGGCAAATCCTGTTGTCTGTTAAAATAAGACACAGTATGCAGATGAAAAAAACAAACAGCCGCGCATGCAGACTCCTGCAAACGAGTCTCGCCACAGGAAAAGTGCATGTTTGCATTTGACATCATTTCCAGTCATCTGGTGAAGCGGCACATGTGATGAGCTCCACTTGTTTCACACGGTTTGGCTAAAACACTAAACGCTCTCACGTAAACAAAGGCTAAATCCTAAATAATGTATTTGACAGTTTGACCTTTAAAAGTAAAACAGAAGAATTCAATACTGACTCCTTCGTATTGCCATTTTATCACCATCTTGATCCCCCAAAGTAGTTTTGAAGATGTTTAGGACTGAACCCACTGATAAAGAACACCGTATGCACAGAGAGGCGAGTGTGGATGAAGTAAAGGGCTCTGTCCTCTGACTCCGTGCGACATCAGACATTATAAGCTGCCATCATCTACTAAGCTGAGCAGTTACTCTCTTTTCTCTCGAGTAGCACACAGCACACAGTCTGCTCGCAATGCGTTTGGACTAGTGGAAATGCAGACTGCATGGAGCCTTGAGGAGGCAGGTCACAAGGCTCCATTGCCTCAGATGAAAGCATTTCTCGCTTATTAGTATTAGTGGTTTTTCTGTTTCGGTAAATGACAGAATCAATTTTAAATCAGTGCCTTACCAATGTTACTGTCTTTTTTAAAAACATTCTTACATGACCTCCAACAAATTTGTTTCTGAAAAAACTAAAAATATGGAAAATTTATCGCTGTGTGTGGCCGCACAGACAAGGTCCATTATGTTTTAGTTTTCCAATGATGACATTCCTCATTGCAAACTCTTATAATCTCATGGTCCATAATTTAAAAAAAAAACCTGAAAAGCAGACAGTTAATGGATTCTGAATGTACGCAGTCAATGCAAATTTCTGTTTAGTGTGAATTTCTGCCATGTGAGATTTTCATCAGTTTATTTCAGGTAATTTGCATTTCATCACAAACAATGTGACAAACTCACTGCAGACTGATTGCGGACTAAGTTTTACTTCATCTTGAGACACCAAAGCTGTTTTAAAGGTAGCAAATTTCCTCAAGTTGTCCCAGACCTGGTCTTTGTCAAGTTCATTGTACGCTATTGCAGTAATTGCAGTAAATGGCCTGGTAAATGGCCTGTATTTATATAGTCCCTAAGGACCCCAAAGCGCTTTACATATCCAGTCATCCACCCATTCACACACTGCTGATGGCAAGCTACATTGTAGCCACAGCCACCCTGGGGCGCACTGACAGAGGCGAGGCTGCCGGACACTGGCGCCACCGGGCCCTCTGACCACCA